TTCAACAAGTACCATTGTCTCCAAATTGGTTAATGAGGAGAGGAAGAAAAAATGAAAGTGAGTGATATTTATTGGTGGGAGCGTGTAACCGGTTAAAGCCCTTGTGATGATATGTATCTGTCGAATTAAAGCAGAAAGCCCATAAATGCCCCCTTTCTAAAAAAGGCCCCAGTGACTGATGACGAAGAGCTAGGCAAACAAGAACGAGGCGCAATAAACCCGATGAGCGGATTACAAGGGAGTGTATATGGATTAATATTTCGGCTCATATATCAATGACACCAAATTCTGAGGGCCCTCGCATCTTTTAATTAAACTATAAAAATATATATATAGTGGTTTTTCCATGGGCAAACAACCCCGAAGGCGAGCCTGGGTTTTATTAGAAATATTTCTCTTGAGGGTAAAGAGAGAAAAAACGTGCAATCCCCGTGGCAATAAGCTGACCAACCCTCAGCTTCCATTTCGTCTTTTATTAAGCTAATTATATTATTAATGCTCTCGCTTCCATTGTTTACGAGAAGGGTGGGCCGTTTTATGGTTTAATTTTACCACGCCGCTAGGAGAGAATTTACATTCAGCTTGGATTACTGTCCCTTCTTTATGACCTCTTGTACTCCCTATTTTTTAAATGCATTTAGAAGATTATTCCTTTTTTATTTTAACAGAGTTTGTCTGTTTCATTGTCAACAAAAGCGATTTACGCATTTTTTTTTTCTAGGAGCATTAACCTCCCTTTAAGATATCCGCTGTCGTTTACCGGCAGAAAAAATGGTATTAAAAAAACGAAAAAAAAAAAAAACGAAATGATAAATGCATCAAGTCAGTCACGACGCAGTCCTTCTTTATGACAAAAGGTACATTAATTTTGAAGCGTCAGTATAGCAACCGGTTGGTGTCATCCACATCCGGTCCGCGAAGAACTGGTTTACAGCTCTTCCACATGATAAATCACGGGTAACTTTAAAAAACTATAACGTTTTTCACCCCATTGGCATTTATTACACAATATTTAACGTATCCCACTAAATAATTGAGTAAAAGTAACTAGTTATATTTTCTATTTTCGTGATGAGATAAAACAAATACATTTATGAAAAGGATCAATAGAGTGTTTGTACGTCTTCATTTGTACAGCCGTTTTGTCATAAACAGTAGAAGTGCAAATACCCTTATCCATTGATTAATCATTGTATCTGTACTAATTGATAAATCAACATTATTTCTTAGCTCTAAGGAAATTCAAATATCGGACGAAAGCTTGGCACTTTATAAATATCTCACAGCTAGCTGCCCACAACCATTGCTGACTAGCCCACCCTAAAGTATAGTTTAATACAGGCAGGATTTTGATTGTGAATAATAATAAAGCAACTCATCGTCACATCAGTAAATTATATGACATTTAGATGGATAAATATGATAAAATTAATATTAATGTATTTAGAGGGAAGTTAATAAGGAAGAAAAAGAAAAATACATTATGTATATGCATCAGATAATTGAATGATAATTAACTAGACAAAGGAAAGAAAGTAAGAAAGAAAAAAGAAAGAAAGAAAGAGAGAGAGTGGGAGAGAGAGAATGTGTGTGTGAGAGACAGAGAAGCAAGAATGCGGTTTTACATATAGTCTCCCAATTTAGTCAAATACTCATTTCATTCAACGTGACATGAAAGAAGGAGAAAAGAGAGATCGGGAGGGAGAGAGAGAAAATGAGAGAGAGAGAAAGAGTGTGTGTGTGTGAGAGAGAAGCAAGAATGCGGTTTTACATATAGTCTCCGAATTTAGTCAAATACTCTTTTCATCCAACCCGACAAGAAAGAAAGGGGAGAGAGAGAGAGAAAGGGAGAGAGAAGGGAGAGAGAGAGAGAGAGAGAGAGAGAGAGAGAGAGAGAGAGAGAGAGAGAGAGAGAAAGAGAAATAGACAGAGGTATAGAGTTGCTTAAAAAAATTAAATTTAAAAAAACTGTAAAACTGTGTATATAATATGAGATAGACCTTTCTAAGAAAAACATTAAATTTCAAGTTATACCAGATAATAGCTGGTTAGCTTTTTTTTACATTAATTAAAAAATAAGCGTATTTTTTCTGCAATTTGCAAGCAAAGGACAAATCTGCCTGGAAAACACTCGATATTCGAACTTAGCCCGCTCGCGGGGAGTATGTTTCTCTGAAGGAGAAGAAAAAGCTTAAAAAAATGAAAATTGTTTGAAGGAGTAATTTGAGGCACGAGGCCGCCGAGTTTACACACTATTGGTTTCTCTACTCCTGCCCCGTCCGGGTCCCTCTTTCAATGAAAGGGAGTCGGGGCTGTGGGAATACAATGGGACCCAGAGGGGTGGCAAAGGATTTTTTACCCCACTCGGGAGAGATGTGGGGTGTCCCTCACGGTAGCCCCACTAATATTTCACACTAACTCCACTACCCATGGCCATCGGAGATCAAACATTTATTTGGTTTAAAAGAATGTTGCAAAACAGGAGACTATTACTATCTCATTCATTTTCTAATACTACTGGATAATCACAGCATGGAAATTTATACGTTTTTTATACGTTCCTTGCTCAACAAAACAATTTTTTTGAAGAGATAATCAAAGGTAAATAGAAAAAGAGAGATAAAGAAGGAGAAGCAGATAGAAAGATAGATTAATGCTTAATATATTGTACTAATTGTAAGTAATCGACCACAAATTAAATATCTCAAAAACCTTACTCATAATTTTATAACCAAACATAGAAAACTATCTTAAATAATTTGTGGATCAAGATGATAAATGCCTACTCCTGTCAATTATTGTTAAGCTAACTAAATGTGATTTTGTTTTAGAACAAAATTAAAAATTGGTAGAAAGATAGAGCTGGATAGAGATTAATGAGAGAAGAATGATTTATTCGCAGAATTTGGTTAACTTTGACCACTCTTTTTCCAACGCCTAATACCAGGTGATAAAAGAAGTCTTTTTCCCATTTAAGACCTAATTTGTATATGCATTTAAACAAAGAAAAAAAAGAGAGAGGAGAAAAAAGAAAAACTGACAGAGAGAGAGAGAGAGAGAGAGAGAGAGAGAGAGAGAGAGAGAGAGAGAGGGTTATCATGCGAAGAAGAGGGAGTAAGAGGAATGAGATATAACGTTGGTGTAGACAAAATTTACGAAGGGTCTACACTAATTGCTTAGTTACATAATATGTACATTACTTTAAATAAAACTGAAAAATCACACACAAAAACACAAATAAACGCACGTGCACAGGTATTACATATATACATCGTTCACCGACAAGGAAAGTGATACAAATCGAAAAATTATAAAAACTGGATTATTTAGAATTTTTTTTCAAGTATTCCGGCGTGTGATGTTACAGGATAAATGTATAGTATGTAAATAAATGTATGTATACGTATGACATCACTGTATGTTGAATCTTAGCAGCTAGGTAGTACCTTGTGTCTCTTTTCAATTGGTGGGAACGCACCATTCGGAAAAGTGGCATATCTAAGTTCTTTGTCGAGCTTTATATATTTATCAGGAAAATTGGAACATTTCGAGTTACGTCAGTTTTTTTCTTATGTAGTGAAGTAGTCATATTTTCACATTATGAAAATAATTGTGAAATTAACATAAGCCCTGATGATGACTTTAAAATAGGTCGAAAACTCGGCAGTAACAACTGAATTTCCCTTTTTCTTCAAGACTGTTTGTGAATTATTTTAGTTTCATTTCTTTTATTTAAATAACATTTTTAATTATAATATTGTTTTTTAATAATTTTTACTAGTTGGCTTTTAACTTTTACATTATTTTATAATTTCAACGATTTTTTAATGCTTTAATTACGATATTTTGAAATATCAATGAAACCTTTATTTCAATAATAATTTGGAATTTTAAATAACTAATTAGCCCTTGTTTCAGGAGGAACGCACATTTGGGTCAAAAATTATCTTATTACCACATGGGTATATATACTCATTTGTTAGGTTTGTACGTTCTCTGTCACCATCACGCACAAAAAAAATTAATAAGTCATTCATTGCCACCATTATCCTTAGAGCAAACAAACTAACATAAATTACCGAGAGCTAATATATGCAAGAAAAGTGTCACAACTTTAAAAGGGGTAGTTTTTTAGGGGTAGTACAGCTGGATGTTTGAAGTTTTATGTTTTCGCTTAAGTAGCGGAGAAGCAAAAGACAATATTATGAATCAAGCCAGTTTTTTTGCCAACAACCGTAATGGTGTGTACTTAATAGATAAGTAAAAAAAAAAAAACTTCCATTTGTCTGTCGTGGAAAATTTTCTTTTGTTGAGTTGTGTGTCACTTTATATATATAATTATGTAAATTTTATATATATATATANATATATAAAATATATATATGTATATAATATAATACATATTACATATGTAATTGATTAATAAAATATGTATAAAATAATCACATTAGAATGCGAGAGTATGGTTGCCAGGTTTCATTGTCTATCGAAAAAAAATATAGAGATATATACAGTCATTAATGATAATTATGTTAATCTGATCCCTTGAAGAAAGTGGAAATATGAAAATCTATAGTTTAAATTGATGTTGGTAGGTCTGAGAGTGGATGAACTCAAATTGAACCGATCGAAATTTAACTAGTTCTATGCTGGGTCCGTCTATTCTCGCTGGCTAAGGTGGATGAAATGTGATATTGTGAGTGCAGATATAAAAAACAAAACATTGAAAGAGCTAGAATAGAAATTGTGTTAAAAATGTAATAATGGAAATGAGATCTGTAAAGCCAATGGATAATGCGAATTACTATTATAATTCAGGTGAATGTAGGTTGAAATGTTAGTAATCTCGTTTTTGATTTTCTTTTACGACCTTTGTGAGAAAAGAATCCCTATTTTGTTTCCACGGATACAATTACCCCGTTCATGGCGCAAAGATTATTATGATCCTCCCCTATTATTATTCAGAAGTCCTACTATAAGTATAATTAAATGGTTTCCAGGTTCTCTATTGAAATACGGACTGGGAGAGCGAGAACCGGTCGGCAGGATGGCCTAATGGTCGCCAGGTAGGAATTACTTTTGGAAAACAATCTATCATTATGTACCGATTAGGGAGGTGTTAACAAAACAATAGGAGATCAGAGGCCCTGTACTATCTTGATGTCACGTCACGGGGGGCCTCGACGAACTTCAATCGGCCCGCTTGTTACAACACATCCCCCATCATCTCTCTTTCACAACCAATTTTCCCCGAATAACACTAACAGTTTTTCAAACGCCGATTCATTTGGCTAATTAAAAATACCACAGTAAAAAAAAATTCCTATATCAAGTATTCCAATGTAAAGTATTATTAAGCCCTATTATCATAAAACACAAAATATATTTTTCTTATTTATTTTATCTTTGCTCAAATTGATTTTTGGCACGTATATAGACACGAGTGTACTGTTTAATATCTTTGAATACCAAATTCCGTTTGTTTGGGCATTTAAATTGTGGACAAATTAAACTCACTTGAACTTTTTATAATTTTTACAAAAAAAAAAAAAAAACCATCGTTCGCCGCAATAATCTCTGTCTCCATATTGAATTTTTACCAATGTTCCTCTCTCTCTCTCTCTCTCTCTCTCTCTCTCTCTCTCTCTCTCTCTCTCCTCTTTCTCTCACTTTCTCTCTCCTCTCTTTCTCTCTCTCCCCTCTNCTCTCTCACTCTCTCTCTTTTTCTCTCTCTCCTCTTTCTCTCACTTTCTCTCTCCTCTCTTTCTCTCTCTCCCCTCTCTCTTCTCTCTCTCTCTCTCTCTCTCTCTCTCTCTCTCTTCCATAGGTCCAGTTAATTATTAATATTAACAATTTTGCTATATTTAAGGATGGGCAGCGAATCAGGGTTGTGATCAGTGAATTATGAGATGATTATTAAGCACCAAGCTTTCAGATCTCCCTCGGAGCTAATACCTACATAAATAACATGGATATATAAATTACGACAAAGACTACTTTTAAAGACAACACAATTAACAAAAGTAGACTTACAAATATACAAATATAATCTTATCTTGATTATTCGGAGATCGTGAGACGCGGTCTGGTGTGACGTAGCTTTTAGAAAAACATGTTCTTTATCGTGCCAATATTTCGATCTTTATTGAGATCATCTTCAGGGCCTGGGACACACAAAAATGACACAATCACGCAGAAAAGAAACCCTTTGAGTGAGTACAAATACTTTGATTGAATATAAAAAATAAAAAAATTAATTTTTTTAGTATTGCATTTTTTTATTGCATTGTATAAATCCATTTTGTTCCACAACCTACAAGTATTTGTTAAATTTAAATAATGTTTGTAAATGTAAAAACCCTAAAGGTGATCTCAATAAAGATCGAAACGTTGGCACAGTAAATAAAATATTTTTCTAAAACCTACCTACCTCACATTAAACCAATTTATACAACATTATAACTTAGCCTTGAGGAAGGTCAAATATAGGCCGAAATATTGACATTTAATAAATATCACCTTGTTGACTGACCACAACCCTGACAAACAACTCATCTAAAATTAAAAAATTTGTTAAAAATTATGACTTTATTAAACTACTAGAAATAGTTGAATATTCTTTCTCTCACCCTGCTTCACCCCTCTCTCTCTCTACAATAAAATACTGCTATTTCTATGATACAGGATAGCTCATAACGTCAAACTGTCTTTTAGGTGTCACGCACGAAGGGTTGAACCATATTATAATACTTTCTGAAATTATTTACACTTAATAATCAATGGATTGAGCAGGGATTCGAACACGAAACCGCTAGCATGGCAAAAACGAATCAAACGCCCTTCCCTCCTCGGCTACAGCGTCTATAATGTTCATAGCATCATGTACTAATGTTATACACATATAGCATTATACTTATTTATAAAATTAAATTTGTTATTCCTATAATTTAATAGTTATTTAACAATTTATTCCAAATTTGAAGATACTAGATAAAAAAATTTGCTTATATTCCTTAATAAATATACTTTTTAATAATGTAAACCCATTTTTATAATATTCTTAAGCACGGTGGCAGTATCGATTTTACTTAGGGTCTTAGGATAGCTGCTTTACGAGCGATAATAAATTTTTATGTCTGATGTCGATATCACCCCCTGAGAGCTTCTTTTACACTTAGGCGGTCGTCCGGTTATGTTGAAAAAATAGCTCTGCTATTCGTTCATTTTATATTTGACTACTTATTGTTCATTTTATCAAACCAAAATTGGACAATCTTCCAATTTTTATTTCAAATAATGTTTTTACTCAAACATTTTTAGTTAGTATCATTCTAGCGAATTTGAATGTACCAATAGTATATGAAATTATATTAAAAATAATCTCACAAAAATATAAACAAAAAAGAATCAAACATATAATCGAGTGGATCGAGGTCACGATAGCTCAAGTGGTAGAGCAGCGGCATATCTAGCCGAAGATCGTAGGTTCGAATCCCGCTCGTGAAACTGACTTTTTTTATCTCAACTGAAAACCATTAATTAATTGAAAGATATTAATTGGTCAACCACGAAAACTAGTGAATTTAATAAGTTAAAATGAAGTATACCTTCACTAAAGCTCTCCGTGGATATTTCATTTGAGGCCGAGAATCAAATAGATTACACGACATTTGAAAAATGGCAAAAAGGAGGGAAAATTCAAAAGGTGGGATTGTCATGGGAAGTTAGTGTCCGAGTGGATCGAGGCACGATAGCTCAAGTGGTAGTACAGCGGCGTATCTAGCCGAAGATCGTGGGTTCGAATCCCGCTCGTGACCATGACTTTTTTATCTCAGCTAAAAACCTTAATTAATCGAAAGATATTAATTGGTCAAGGGGACCACGAAAACTAGTGAATCAAACATATAATGTTTAAAGATATAATACAGAGGGAAAAATAGGAATGCTCATTCAAAAAAATTTAGTAAATACATGTAATCGTTATAATTGTAAATTTTGTTTATATAATAAATTTATGCTCATGTAGCGGCATTTTTATGCTGGAGGATTTAATGAGATCAAAATGAGCAGGTAAATTTAATTTGTGGTCATATATAAAAATAACACCGAGTTCGTTAGAGTACTTTTAAAAGGACGAGCAGTATTATTAGTAGAGAATGGGAAGTTGTAAGCAGTTATATTCCTGTACATCCTGTAGAATAGCTAATTATTCAGAAATCGTGAGATGCGGTCTGGTGTGATGTAGGTTTCAGAAAAGCATTTTCTTTATTGTGCCAACGTTTCGATCTTTATTGAGATCATCTTCAAGGCCTGGGATTTACAAACATTGTTTACATTTAACAAATATATGTAGGATGTGGAAAAAAGTGAATTTATACAATGGAAAATATATTTTCTTTATATTCAATCGAAGAATTTCTACTCACTCAAAGTGTTTGTCTTCTGTGTAATTGTGCCATTCTTGCGTGTCGTGTTGAGAGTGCCAGTAAGATATTGCTGTTTTATGTTTATGTACATTGGATTTTGATGAATGATTGCTATAGAATAGCATTTTTCAATATTAAGAAACAGTGATGTAGAGCATTCAAGTCAGATTAGAGGAGTAAGCATCTTCGGAGATAACAGGCAAGAAAAATTTTAAGCAGCATTTTCCGCAAAGAGACGAGGAGTTGAGAATTTTGGAATAAAAGAAAGATCGTTGATTAAATATAAGTGGAGAGAGATGTGCACCTAGGGATCTCCAGGAAACACCACTTTGTAAGATCGTAGAAATAAATCAGGTTAATATTGCTATTCGAAGTTGTAATAATTTACGTTAACTACGTTAAAATGCGTAATATGGGAAAAGAGATTAACAAAAACAGGGTTAGATATATTTTGGAATTAATTGTCATGTTATAGTTTAAAAAGTGCTTGATGGGAATTTTGTTTTTAAATTTTTTTCTAACAATTATTTTATGAATAATTTCTAAAGGCTTTCCAGCCCCCCTAGTAATTGTGCTTCTTCTCTCATCAGAAACGGTAAGGTGCTAATGACTACTGCATTGACCCGTTTCTCCTTCCCCCCGACCAACTTTTAACCTCCTTAATTACCGCCTCTGAATAATAATTCTCCACCCCCGCCTTCCCTGCCCGTCCACGAGCAGCGGCGAATACTTAATTACTTGGAATAATTTGTCTCTTGGGGGTGCCCGCTTTTGTTCCAGGGGCGGCTGATAATGATACTGGGAGCCGTATATCAAGGGCATAAGGAGGCGGCCAAGATATACGCCCGAGGCAATTAGGGGGGAGTTGCCCGCGGCCCCGGTTAGAAAAAACTTGGAGCAACAGAGTTCCACTTAAAAACCCTTTTGTCTAAAGGGGTTTTTGTAGAGTTTAAATTATGTCATAAGTTCTCTCCTTAGGAAGCTTTATTATTTCCTATATCTGTGGAAGAATGATGTAAACCTACACTTTTTAACACTTTAATATCATAATTCATATTACTTTGTGTGCCAAATATTTTAACTACATGTTGGCTTTAGTAACAAAATAGAAAATGCTTTTGTAACAAGACAGAAAATATATCTTTACTCTTTTTTATATTGATATGAATGAATATAAGAAATTCCTGCATATTAACATTTTTGTGGAATTATTTGGAGATCGTGAGGTGCGGTCTGGTGTGACGTAGGTTTAAGAAAAACATTTTATTTATCATTCCAAGGTTTCGATCTTTATTGAGATCATCTTCAGAGCCTGGGTTTTGTAAACATTGTTTACATTATACAAATACATAAAATATATGAATAAAAATTTATACAATGATGTACACAATATAGAATTTTAAGTATAATCAAAGTATTTGTACTCACTCAAAGACATTGTTACATGTAGGATGTAGAAAAAATAAATTTATACAATGCTAGAAAATTTTTGATTAAAAAAATTAATTCATACAATGCTAGAAAAGTTTAGATGAAAAATGACTTTATACAGTGCTAGAAAATTTTAGATGAAAAAAAGAATTTATACAATGCTAGAAAATGTTAGATTAAAAAAATTAATTTATACAATGCTAGAAAAT